TTGGGGGATTAGAGTCTCCGCTTGCTGCCAGGCTGTGAGGACGGATGACATGTCGTTGGATGGTAAGTGTATCGCCCATCTCCACGAGCTGGTGGGTGAGGCCCTGTCTGAAGGCCGGGCAGCTGTAGAGGCTCAGTCTATAGGGGATGATTTTTCGCTGCAGGAGCTCCCGCTCCCCCGACTGCTGCCAAGCTGACGGGCACACCTCTAGCTCAGCTCGTGGGTCTACAGGAGGGTGATCCAGACATCTCTTCTGAAACCCGCCTGGTGTTGCGCTGCACCCTGGGTGAGCTGGCTGTGCATGGAGGCCGGCGTGGCTTGTACGACTATGCCACTAAGCGATGGGAATCGGAAGAGGGTATCAGAGGGACGCGACTGCGAAGCTGAGAGGTGTGGACGAACCATGGGTGCGGCAAGCTCTGGCCACTTGGTGGCACAGGAACCCACAAGGCTTTCAGTGTCTTGACATGCCCACGGCAGCAAGTTTCACCCGAGAAGCGCATGATAGAGGTCTCTGCATTGTCAGACTTCGACAGCCTTCAGCCAAGCGATCCAACGCTTCGGCCTTTCGTCACATGGCTTCATGTCTGGGACGGGAGTTGTGCTGGCACAGACGTTCTATTCTCTTCTTTCGGAAGGTGCTAGGTCTGAGATGTCCGAGTGCAGACATACCCCAAGCGTTGTTCAGTGTTGAAAGCAGCAGAGAGCACCGAGCACTCGCACGAAAGACTGCCATTGTTCTCAACATAGTATCTACCCAGTGATCGAACAGGCTGTCATTTGAGTGTTGTCCAAGGTCTTTCGAGCTTTGACAGCTCTCGCAGGCGTGACCAACCAGAATGGCGATGCCATCACGGCAGAAGGCCGACATCCTTGTTGCTCTCCCTTGGCTTCGCTCTGCAAGCGCAGGGCTCTATCGCACAGCTCTGGACCACGTGGAGAAGTACAAGACTTCCGGCCAGCGTGCAGAGACCTGGAGATCCTGGGTTTCCGAGGGCTTTGTGCAGATGCTTGCCGAAGGCTGCATGTCATCGCATGTCATCGCATGTCCGCATGGGGGGCGTGGGCGCTCTTTGCAGAGCAACCCTGCGTCGGACGCAGGCCGTCATGCTGAGCAACGCAAAGCCGAGATCCAGGCGCTCCAGGCCTTTTTGTTAAAGCCGGTTGTTTTTTGGAGAGGTTTTTTTCAGACATCCTTCTGGTGCTTCAGGCAGAGGTGAAGCATTCCTCAACCTCAGTGCGACGCTGGGCGCTCCTTTGGGTACCACCTCCGCTGGCAGGCTCTGACCCTGCCTGCTGCTTCGGCGGTCAAAGAGGTGTACAGCGCTGCGACCATGCTGCCTCCGACAGAAACTCCTGACGTCCAGGCATCGAGTGACGGTGGCTTCAGTCTGATGGGCACCGGCGTCTACAAGACTCAAAGCCCAAGATAGCCCATGCCTTCCCACGACCTCGGTGCGCTCGCCCAAGCAAGAAAAAACAGTGGACAGAGATTGGGGTCTCCCCTCAATTTCGCTCAGAATGCCCGCGCAAAGCCGCAGAGTTCGCGGGAAAAGTGCAGAAGACATTGTATTGCACAGCCGGCGAGAAAGGACCCTGGCACAACTTCTGTGTTGGCTTCGTGTTCAGCTCAGCTCAGGAGGGGAGCCATGTCGTGAAGAACCTGCACCGAGATTGGATGGAAACTCGCCTCGTGGACACTTGCATCGCTGGCTGCGTTGGCCGAAAAAGCACCTGAAGCCGCACGTTGAGCTGACCATTGCGAACCTAGCTGTTTGCAGATGTGCCTCGCGCAGTATGCCCGTGCAGCCAAGGAATCATTCTGCTGCTTGGCTTGTCTTGGTGTAGTGATAGGCATTGACTCAGTGCACTGGACTCAAAGCTGGATTTTGTAGTGTAGTGACTGGAGGCTTGCGCCGGACGAGGTGACGCCCCGAACGGGCGACAGCTCCCGGCCGGCACTCGACTCGGATTGGCTGCAACCGCTGAGGTGGAGCTTCGAGCTTCCTTTTAAGTTAGGTAGCTTTGTTTTGGTTACAACATTCGTGCTGAAGTTGAAGCTTGCAGCTCGCAGGTACTCGTGCCACACAGCCAGACTTTACAAGACTGCCTCAGTAGAGAAAAGATAGTTTCCTTGGAGAAGCTTGCAGTCCCTTATGTTATTCTGAGCAACCGAGGTTTGCAGCAAACATCAACATATCAGCCTCTCATAAGCATACCCTGCCATCTCATCTTGAAGGCAGATGGGCAACGAAGAAGCATGGCAAGCAATGGAGGACTTCCACTGTTTGGGTGCAGCCCTCGCGCATACCGAAGTTCCGGGATTCATCTTGGAGCTGTAGTTTTGTGGGACAGGAGCATGCCCGGAGACCCGACGTCTCTGGCGGAGTGATGGACATAACTCCGGGCATGTGTGTACCTCAGGTGTGTGGGAGCATGGGTAGCAAAGTTACACAAGGTAGGTGTCTGACTTGCCTCCCTGGTGCTTTGGCACATTGCGAACCCGGCAAGCATTGTAATTTACAGCGCACTCTTGGTCAATTAAGCGGCAAATTCGCAAGAGCTCTGAAATTCAAGAAAGGTCCTCTGTCCGAAAGGAAGCCGTACTGTGCTGTGATCCTATGCACTGGGAGCATGGAAGTGTTCATCATTCGGGCATGGATGCTCTGCCCCAAGGCGTGCACTGTGAACATGGACGTTATCATCCTGCGCGCACGGATGCTCGGTCCCACAGCATGCACTCGGGAACATGGACGTTGTCCTCCTTCGCGCATGGATGCTTGGCCCCACCGTATAAACGACAAGAGCCGCCAGCATCAATTTCACCACGCACCGTCCAATCACCAAGAGCCCCGCTTGGATTGGCCGAGAGTGAAAAGCAGAAAAGCATTGGCGGCAGTTCCCGCATAATATGCGGACAAACATGCAAATCAAGCTTTAGCGTTGGACTCGCAGCAAGCAAAGACTAATTTTAACGCTACGCCGCCCGCCTCGGCTGTGTAGCGGCAGGGCGAGGGGGCAGTCGATGTTTTTTTATGCTAGGGCGGCCTGTCAAACCCCAAACATTACACAGTTGTTGATACGAAGTGCCAGGAAAACGGGCACAGGGGGAGGGAGGGGGGGGGAGGGGGGGGAAGGGGGGGGGTAGGGGGGGAGGGTGAAACACTGAATGTTACACATCCAGGTGCCTGTCTGTTTCACGTATCACTTGCATGTATCCATGCCTGTTGCTCAAGGTTCTAGTGCAGTGGACTACAGCTGTGCGCCTGTAGCAAAAGAGACACCTGAGTGCCTGTGTTCCTGTACGCCTAGCGAGGGGATACACGTCCAGGTTACATCTCAACGTGGTAGCGGAGCTCCCGGGAAACGGGAAGCTTCACACTTGTGGAGGTACCCGTTCGGTACTCTCTACACAGGTGGAGGCAACCGGAATACCCGGTGTGCTTCACTCAGGTGAAGGTGACCGGAGTCTCTCCGGCACACTTCACTCAGGTGAAGATAACCGGAAGAGGTTTCTCCCGGGGCTCGATCCAAGAACAGCGCAATGGCTAGCCACTCTGCGACTATCTTTGAGCATGAAGGAGGAGATGATGACTACCTCCTCCACGGAAATGAATCTTTCGCGACTAATCATCGTCATCTCAATGAATTACACCGTCTTTCAGCTTTCCAGCAGGTGACCACAAAAGTACCTCCATCTTATGATGGTAGAAGCAGTTGGTTTGCCTATGAAGATGCGATCGATGACTGGTGTGACATTACTGAGCTAGACAATGATAAGCGTGGACCAGCTTTGAGAAATCGGCTAGAAGGTGAAGCAGCAATCCACAAGAGACTTCTCGACAGAGATCGCCTGAAGGACCCGAACAACGGAGTGAAGTACTTCAAGAGTTTCCTGCGGCCGCTTTTCGTGAAGGGAGCAGCGAATGTTTTTCTCTATCGCTTCCAGCAGTTCATGAACATGCACCGTGGGAACGGAGACATGCTTCGTTGGATTACCAGGTTTCAACTCTCTGTTCAGAGAATGCAAGAAGCGTGGAACGATACCTATCTGCCGATCGAGGACCCGAACAATGCAGAGGTCAGAGCCTTCATAGTAGGACTTCCTCCAGAAGAACAAGAAAACCTTACGCCAGCTCAGGCAATGGAGAGAGCCAACGAACGGCTCAGAGAGCAGCATGCTCGGACCATTCCGATCACGCCCAACCTGGTCGCTTTGATCTTTGTGTCCCTGTCTGATCTGACACAGGATCAGCGTCAGGTGTTGACATCACTGATGGCGCATCGGAACCGAGTCCTGGCTGACTACAACACGGCCGAGCTTCGCGAAGTCTACCTGGAGATCTTCTGTACGACCAAGACTACCGTCGACAATCCACTCCTCGCTCCTTCCGGCCACGGTGGCCGCAAGACCTTCCTTGTGATCGATGAAGGATATTTGAACGATCATGAAGGCTACTGGGTCGAGGACGAGGAAGATGGCACCGAAGGTTTCCTCGAAGCGGATGAGGACGCCTTCTGGGTCTACGACGACGAGAACTATTCATGGTTCCAGCGGCGCTTCCAAGGCCGCAAGATGAGGCGCGGATTCAAGGGCCACCGTAAAGGCAAAGGAAAAGGTGGCAAAGGATCCAAAGGAAGGCGCTTCTTCAAAAGGAAGAAAGGCAGGTCACATCTTGCCGAAGAATCAGAAGCATGGCAAGCAGAAGGACAATGGCAAGATTACCAGTGGAGCGATCAGTCCTGGGATGACTGGTCCTGGTATGAGTCTGAGGAATCCTATGCAGCCAAAGGAAAAGGAAAGAAAGGAAAGAAGGGCAAAGGAAAGAGCAAGTTTGGCAAGGATGGAAAAGATGGAAAGTCCGGAAAAGACGGACAGAGCCAGCTTGCTGATGCTGCCCCGAGCGGCATCACAGCCGCCACAACCTTCTTCGTTGAACATCTCAACACTCCGAACTTTTCTTTCATGGCCACCGAAGAGAAGATCAATGAGATCGAGGAAGCCTTCATCTCTCAGCCCTTGACGCCGACCGCGATGGTGTTGGACCTGGGATGCACGAGAGCAATGGCTTCGAGAGTGGCCGCACAGGACCTCATGGAGTTCTGTGACAAGAACCAGAACTGTGGCATATGGTACACCATTGCTGAGACCACTTCTCAGTTCACCTTTGCCAATTCCGAGTCTACCAAATGCAACCAGAAGTTGGTCATTTGCATGTACGACCGGGACTTTGCAGTTCAATCCACAGAGTTCGACATTGTGGAACAAGGGCATGTTCCCATTCTCATGTCCTTACCTCAGATGCGCAATCTTCGTTTCCAGTTCGAGCTCCATCCGGAAAAGGCCTTACTCAGCAGCCCTGTGCTGGGAATCAAGGATGTGAGGCTGAAGGTTGCACCCAGCTCACACTTGGTACTTGATCTTCTTGAACTCAGTCAGCTGATGTGGAATGTGCGTTTCAGCAAGCATAAGAAGTCGAGCTTCCTCACCTACTTCTCCCACTACGAGTACGGCTTCCATCAGAAGACCGAGGGATGCTGTTCTCATGAACAGGTACCTGACAATCTCGTGTTGGCGACTGATGATGAATGGGTGATCAACGAAGCCGACATGGAAATGATTCGCATCCACAAGAAGATGAGAAGAGTCAAGTACGAACCCAAGGCGGGTTTTGTGCCAATTCCGTTGGAGTATCTGGACACCAAGCGCAAGACGATCATGGAGTTCTCCAAGGGAAAGAGCGTTACTCAAGAAGATGACTGGCGTTCTTCTGAGCTTTCTTCAACAAGAACTACTGATTCTTGGAAAGGCAAGACCATTTTCAAGATTCTGCCTGGTGGCATCGAGAGTAGAACCTCGGTGCCAGCCAAGTCCAAGGATCCAACCCGTGGAAAGGTAGGATCTCCAGAGGACATGGTTAGCGCAGGTAAGCCTGAAGACAGCTCGAAGAACACAGGAGCATCCGGAAGCTTTCCTCAGGGAAAGGCACCGGCAAAGAGAAGGATTCGAGCCAAGGGAAGCTTTCCACAGGGAAAGGCACCCGAGGAACCGGCTCCTCCTCCTCTTGCTCCTGAAGATGATCCGGATCTTCAAGAGTACGAACCTTCCGAACCGGGGGATGCAGATTTGCTTCCTCCGAGTCCTCCGAAGGCCCCAGAGCCACAGTCGCTAGAACCTAGGAGGATCGCGCTTCCGTTGCCAGGCCACGAGGTCTCAAGGGCTTCTCCGCAGTATCAGCGCATGTTGGAAAAGCTGAACAATGATGTTGAGCTTTACAAGTTGCATGTGAAGCATTACCACATGAGTCCTGCTCAGTTTCGACGCAGGACCAGCATGCTTGGTCTGCCAGGAGAGATCTATGACAAGTACGACCGCATTGTCAAAGGCTGTCGTGTTTGCAGCACCTCGGTGCCTACGCCTCCGCGAGCCAGAATCGCAGGGTTAAGAGCATCATCCTTCGGTGATCTCATTTTTGTTGATCATGAAGAAATCAAGTTCGGTACTAAAGCCTACTTGGCTTTGGTCATCATTGATGGTGCTTCAAATCTTCTGTGGGCTACGGCTCTTACAAGCCTGGAAGCGCCAGAGACTCTGGGAGCTTTTAGACAATGGACAGAGGAGAACAACTGCGTTCCTAAGGGAATCGTAGGAGATCAAGCATTTTTTTTTTTTTTTTTCATGTCTTACTACAAGTTCCATGGCATTACTCCGTATCCATGTGGACCACGGACTCCTTG